GGTTCTAAATATGTTAAAGCGAAAAGAAGTTGGGGATAAAAAGAGGTGGTGGCATTATGGAAGATAGAGTTATACTTGATGAACATGATGGTTTAGATGGTCATGTTGAAGGTAGGGGATGTGAGGAACAAGTGAAAGATTTGTTTCCCAAAGAAGATATTGATGATGAGAGTTTGGTTGATATGATGTGCACTTTTGAGGCTTCTTTTAGCCAACTAAAGGATAATTAGCAGAAAGGTCATGAATTCCAAGATGCAATGGATGCTATTATTCAAAGTATTATTCATGCTAATGATCACAAAGGTGTTAAGGATGTTGAACCCGACCTAACAAAAACACTTGATGAGGTTGAAGATGCAATGGATGCTATTCTTAAAGGTACTAATGAAAAAAGTCAATCTAAGAATGAGGGTAATCCTGAACCTGAATTCACTGAAGGAGGTGCAAGTGATGTTCTCCCGCAGATGGTGATGCTAGATCTAGAAAGTGTAGCAGACCTACTTGGGGCAGGATATAGCATGCCTGAAATAAAGAGCTTTAGAGGTTTTCAAGTTGAATTGGATGATAGGCCACTAGTTGAGATGGTTAGTTTGACTTCATCATTTTATAATTGCTAACATTAGTAACAAACATGTTTATATCTTTTATTAATAAGTATTTTTCAAATTTTTAGTAACAGGATGTGACTGAAGTTGAGGATATTCCATATGTTGACAATGTGATGGAAGGAAATCAAGGTGATGGTCTTATAAATGATGGTGTGGAGGAAAATGAGGGTGATGGTGAGGCTGATGATGCTGATGAAGTGGCAGGTGAGGGTGATGGTGAAGGAGATGGAGATGGTGAAGGTGTTGGTCAAGATGATGGAGAGGGTAATGGTGTATTGAGGATGAATGTGATGGTGCTGGTGAGGATGATGCAACTTATATGGAGGGAAATGGTGCTGATGATGAAGGGCATGTACCACGTAGAAGGACAAGAAATCCCTCATAAAGGATCATCCTGCAAAAGCTGAAGAAACCTTGTTTTGACAAAGATGGAAGGGGTTCCACATCTAGATATCTAGTAGATTTGGAGTAGTTACCTAGTTATATGGGGGCAAAACCGGGGATGCTATCATTAGGCAATTGTATAGGTAGCCCTTTTTGGTTATTTTTTTATATACACCCACTACGTCCAACATACATCCATTTGTTTAGTGTTACATTATGGCTTGCCTTTTTTTGGATATTTTTTAGGCTTTTGGGTACATGTTTTGGTATACAAAATGGATGGCTGCTACATGCTAGTAAAACTTATGTAATAGATGCTTAGTATTAAGGTTTATAATGGATGCCCCCTATTATGGTAACCATTATGTTTTTTTTTCTAGTATATCTTAAGCATTAACAATGTACTTTCATTAGTGCAATTCCTTTTATGCAAGTTAGTGCAATTCCATTCATGCAAAGTTTACTTTCAATGTGAATGTAACCAAGGGTATTTTAGTACAATTCCTTTGATGCAATGTATCTTCATTGTACTTCCATTCATGAAACATATACATGAGATAGCAATTAACTAAGATTAATAACATTACCATTAATACCCTTAATACATTACAAACATGCAACATTCACCCGTATGCAAGTTAGTGCAATTTAATTCATGCAATTCCCTTAATACATTTAGTGCAATTTCATTAATACCATTAGTGCAACATTCAGCAGTATGCAAAGTGAGATAGCAATTAACTACCATTAATAATATTACCATTAATATCCTTAATACATTAGTGCAATTCCATTCATGCAAAGTTTACTTTCATTGTGAATGTAACCAAGGGTATTTTAGTACAATTCCTTTTATGCAGTGTACTTTCATTATACTTCCATTCATGCAACATATACATGAGATAGCAACTAACTACCATTAATAACATTACCATTAATACCCTTAATACATTACAAACATGTAACATTCATCAGTTCAAAAAAAAACATTACAAAGATGTAACAATTCTTGATTATCCTTAATATATTACTAATACAGGAAAAACCAACAAAACTACATCTTAATAACCGCCCATTTGAAAATACCACATTTGCCTCCTTCCACCGACAAAAAAAAAATAGGGTTCTATTACATACGTTCCTCTTTGGGAAGTTAGAGCAGCCCTAAAATTTTAGGGAGAAATTAGTACAAAAATAAATAGATTTTTACCTGTTAATTAGGGCGGCACTAAAATTTTCGTTTTGGATTATCAGGTGTTCGTGAGACTGATACACCACAAACATCACCACATTCGCATCTTATTACCTTCTTGTTCCTCATTCTTGTACTACCATTAAAGCTTTATCTTGAAGAAGAAGTTTTCATTTTTCCATTGTAGTCTGTGACTAACTGTGGGGCTCGAAGGGATCAATTACACACGAGGATGTGTGTGAATGAGTTATTAAATTATAAATGCCACATATCTTCCACCTAAGCAAATGGTAACCGGTTGATTAAAGGGAAACCAGATACTTGACAAAAATGACACAGTAAATAGAAGTTTAAGGCAAAGATGGACCTAAATTTGAACTTTGGGCAAATCCGTCAATATTGTGAAAATAAGGGTTTTTATACCATTAGCCCTAAGTCTAATGGCTTCTATGGCACAGGTGAGGAACAAAAAGAAAGAAAAGGGTTGGGGAAGTGGATGTGGGTGTTGGTTTCTTTCTTTAGATGTTAAAAAGTCTCGTGGGGTTCCCGTACCGTATGGGTATATTTGTCTGAAAAAAATCAGGGGCAGGGGTAGGGCCGAGGGAAATGTTATCCCCCATCTTAATTTCGGGGACGAGGAAGGGTGGGCAGTCCTAGGCCAAAACCCCGATGGGTTCCCCGTTAATAAATTATATATATATATATATATATATATATATATATATATATATATATATATATATATATATACATATTAATTATATAAATATAATAAACGATATTTTCTTTTAGCCTAATTACAGTAGCCCAAAGATCAATAGTGGTGGGGAATGCAACCCCGGCCCGTTTGCCATCGTTGACATGGTTTTTCGTTTTCCCTTTCTTTTTGAGAGAGAGAGAGGTGGTGAACCTTTTTTATTTTTAATTATAAAAAATATTTAAAATTATTAAGTCTTTTAAGAAAATGGAAAAAAAATACACGAAGAACATAAATACAGATCATAACAACCATTTCAATGTTTGGTGGGGCAAAATACACAACGAAATTAACTAAAAATAACATCAATCCTAAAAAGTCGCCGTTTAAATAAATAAATAAAAAATGAACCATTTTGTAGGTTTGTAAAAGAAAAAAAAAACCATCGATCCTTATTTTTATAATTTATTTCATTCGGTTATGTTTTGATATAATTTTTATGAGATTTTGGAATCTTTTTATTTTATTTTTATATATGAAGTTCAATATTTATGTTTGGTGGCCACTTTTATCATTTACGTAAACACAAAAATGTATGCGAATTGAATCTGTTTTGTTTAGTTTTTGGATTTATTGATGAGATTTTTGAAACATCTGTATTTCAATTATTGAGTTAAATTGAACTTTTTTCAATTTGCAGCCCTAACCTAGATAAAATTGCCAAAATGGTCCCTATCGTTGGAAAATTCTATTGTTTTGGTCCAAAACGAAATGTTTGTGCATAAGTGGTCCAATTTTAGATACATTCTGTTGTTTTGGTCCCTATAGTTGTATTTTCTTTTGTTTTTGATCCATATCCTTCCTAAATTGACTAATATGCCGCTTAAATAATTATATTTAAATTTTTTTTATTTATATTTATTATTTTTATAATAAAATGAAAAACAAAAACAAAATAAACCTCTCTCTCTCTCTCTCTCTCTCTCTCTCTCTCTCTCTCTCTCTCTCTCTCTCTCTCTCTCTCTCTTCTCTCTCTCTCTCTCTCTCTCTCTCTCTCTCTCTCTCTCTCTCTCTCTCTCTCTCTCTCTCTCTCTCTCTCTCTCTCTCTCTCCTGTTAAGACGCATCACCGCAAACACCCTCTACTATTGGTTTGCTCGACCCCTGCTTTCCTCCAAGCCACACCTTCGGTGAGATGAGCTAACAGTCGACGAAGAGAGCCCATCGGAAAAACTTGTTGTCAACCTCTCCACCTCCACTCGGTTGCTGAGCAAACCCACAAACCTCCTCATGATGTATTGTTTCCGATTTGCCCTTTCCCTCCCTTTCTTCTCCGTTTTTCTACCAACCTCTCCACCTCCCCTCCTATGGCTTCTTGTGTGATATTGCAGAGCATCGATATGCACATTTGGGTTAACAATCTGTACAACAAATCCAATAAAAACAACATTTTAGAAGATGATATTCTTTGAAGCAATTTGTCGAACAATTGGTGTGTGCAACCATTTCAAATCGTTTTGGATGATGCTTTGTGCTTTTAATCGATAGCACTAAGAAACAAATTTTTTTCATTTGTCAAGATCTCATAGTGAGGGTTGGTGTTTGCTCGTCGTTACAGGGGGAAAGACGGGGTGACAACCGGTGGTTCTTGGGAGGTTGATGCCACCTCTAGTAAGGCTATTGTCATATGAGAAAATAAGCAAGGGAGAGGGGAGGTGGTAGTGGTCAAAGGGTGTGTTTGGGTTGTTGTTGGTTGGAAAAACTTGTGAGAAGTGGTGGTTCCTAGTGATGTTCGGTGATGACAACAACAAAAACAACAACACTCGTTGGTGGTGGTTGTTCTTAGCAGTGAAAGGAGAAGGAAAATAGAAAGCATGAAGGGTGGGTGGTGCAATGGATTCTACAATACAAGAGGGGGATCGAGAGTGGGCGTTTGTGGTCGTTCACTGCAGTGAGGGGTCACCTGTGGGTGGTTGAAGGTGGCAACCGTTGGTTGTCCTTGTTTCTTTCTTTGGTTCTTTCATCGGTGTGTGTGTGTGTATTTTTGTGAGAGAAAAAACAAATAAAAATATAAATAAAAATATAAATTAAATTAATTTATGTATTTCAGCAATTAGAAAAATGAAAAATTAAAATTATAAGGGCATAATCATCTTTTAAGTGTGTAGGGACAAAAAACAATTAAAAGATCCAAAATGGGACCAGTCATGCAACAAGGTATCGTTTTGGACGAAAACTGCAGAAATTTGCCAACCACAGGTACCATTTTTGCAATTTTGTCTCTAACCTATTTACAATATCGGACTTAGAAAGTTTTAGGAGTGTTGACATCAATTATTTTCTTCCAAACAAACCTAAAATATCAGTGACATTTATATTTCGAAACGTTGCACCTATTAGAAAAAAAAATTATACTAACAGCCGTAATCGAAATGTTGTCCTAGGACCCCAAGCACCACCTAAGTCCGCCAAATGCACACCCAAGAAAAAAAAAAGTGACAACGCTGTAAATTTGGTCCATGTGGTATTCAAAAAACTTTGGATATGGTTCAAAAAGTTTCCGACTTGCATAGATGGTCCAAAATCAAGAATTTTCTATGATTTTGGTCCAAAAAAAAAAACTTAAAATGACAGTTATGCCCTTTATTTATTTATTTATTTTTTAATTAATTATTTTAATACTATTTTGATTTAAAAGAAAAAACAAAAAGAATTTGCTACCAATTTCTCTCTCTCTCTCTTTCTCTCTCTGTCTCTCTCTGTCTCTCTCTCTCTCTCTCTCTCTCTCTCTCTCTCTCTCTCCTCTCTCTATTTCTCTCTTTCTCTATCATCTTTTTCTTCTTCATCTATCATCTGCAAATCAAGGAAACAACCCATATTTTTTTTTACAATTTTGCTACTAGATTATACGCATAAGTTGACCCAAAAAAACCAAGTTCTTCAATTATTTCTCAACTTCAAAAACTAATCATATTCCTCTCAACATGTTCAATAAGGTTAAACTTCTTCTGGTCTATCTTTGATGACTACAACATGCTCTCACTCTAGGTTCCTTCTTGGCTGAACAATGAACTCATTCCTGATTCCTTCACTTTTCTCTTCTGAAATATGTTTGTAGAAATATTTCATTTGCAGAACCTCAGTAAAGGTACTTTTCTTTCATATATTGAAATATCTAATAGTACTTTTCTTTTAGGTGTTTCATCGAGCACTTGGAGTGATCGTTTTCCTTATTCCTTTTTTGATATATTTAGAAGCATATGATTCCAATTTTCTTTCCTGAGACATCGAATTCAGCAAATAGATGAAGATGTATAGAGATAGGAATACAAAATTAAGGAGTTGGAACTAAAAGAAGGGAAAATTGTAAGAGATTTGGATGCATCAATTGTGTCTTCAAACATGAGGCAGATACAGAAGCGACTACAGTTTCATCCCGTCCTTGAGACATTGGAATATGTCTTTTTTTTTTGCTACCTTGAATTTTGGATGGAATATGTTTTGTGAAATCTGGCCGGGGCACGATAGCTTTAGGGTTAGGAGGTGGCTCATTGGTGCCTGCAACAACATGAACATGGTTTACCAGATATGTAGCCACTGCCTCTGTCTTCCAAGGGGGTAATCGAGTGAAAATTAGTGGAGAGTTCTTCAAATCCTAATTCATCAAAACCAATATCTCTTCTTAGGGTTTGATTGTCGGTATTTTTCATTTTAGATTCTTCTTGATATGGGTTCTTTTTTGGTGAGGATGTAATGAGAGAGAGAGAGAGAAAGAGAGAGAGGGAGAGAGAGATAGAGAGAGAGAAAGAGAGAGAGATTGGTAGCAAATTCTTTTTATTTTTTTCTTTTAAATCAAGATAGTATTAAATAATTATTTTAAAAAATAGAAAAAAAATAAAGGGTATAACCGTCATTTTAAGTTTTTTTGGACCAAAATCACAGAAAATTCTTGATTTTGGACCTTCTATGTAAGTCGGAAACTTTTTGGAGCCTATCCAAAGTTTTTTTGAATACCACGGGGATTGAATTTGCAGTTTTGTCAAAAAAAGTTGGTTCAACAATTTGAAGGAAATACACGAAATTGAAAATTTGGTCCCTATGGTATGTCAAAACTAGCATGTTTTGTCCAAAACGGCTTGCAAGGATGGTCTAATAGTTTATATTTGTTGCGAGTTTAGTCCAATGGCTTAACGGACGTTACCAAGCTCCCGTTAATTTACCCATGCCCCTCTCACTTAAGGGTATTTTAGTCCATTCATCCTTGTAATCGTTCCCGCTAAAGCTCAATAAAAGCATTTCGTCTCCTCAATAAAGTAGATCGTTGTTGTTTAACCAACATTAGTAAAATCCCTAGACACAAAATCTGTTATGTTAGTTAAGTGTGATTTGTAGAGATTATCGGCGGATGAACATACCAATGTGGCAAGTAAGGTTGTTAAATACACCTTTCAACCCCAAGGTTGTTTATGGTATGTAATTTGCCCTTTTTCATCTTTTGATTTCTTGATTTTTTTTGAAGTAACTCCACCTGAGGTTTTTTTCTTGTTTTGAAGATGGACACCCAACATTGTTTACCATAAAGTTGTACCATGGAGGTTAGTTCACCAAGTACCCTGATGTCCGTTACATTGATGGAACTGTAAACTATGTTGACATGGGAGATATAGATGAGTTTTTAGTTCATGAGCTCGATGCAATCATGAAAGGTTTTCGATATGGGGTTCCTCCTGTTATATACTTCCATTTTTTTTGTTTTTGGTGGAGACTTCCACTTTGGTCTTCGACCTTTAGGAAATGATGAAGATGTTGCAAACTTTTCTCAATATGTTAGTGAGCACAACGTGATGAAGGTATACATAGAACATGGTGAAACAAGACTACTCTCCTATTTCTTGAATCCTAAACATGTTACCAAGGTTACCCTAGTACAGTTACATGAACCACATGAGGATGTGAAACACATTGATGAAGCTTCTCATGACCAATGAAAGGAAACACCTGTGATGACTACACATACTGATAATTTAGTTGATGTGGTGCCCACTCAAGCAAACCAACCTGAAATCAAGTCAATGAAATAGTTCAAGTCGTATCCTTATAACCTGAATATAATAGGAGAAGGATTATGAGCAAGGATAGATTGATGGCATCTTACAGTAAGAAAATATACTTCGATGATATTGGTAAGACTAAGCAGATACCCAAATACTTTGTTAAGACAGCTACTGATTTTGATATTGGACTCTACCAACAAATACTACAAAGCAATGTTGATGGATTCAATGTCCCTGCCATGCATGATATCAATGAACCTCGGATGGATGAAGAAAACCAACCTTAGATGGATGAAGAAAACCAACTTCAGATGAACGACTTTTGGGATTTTGACTATCAAACTGATGCTTTTGTCCAAGATGGAAGTGAAAACCAACCTCAGTTTAACACGGATAGTAGTGGAAAACGAAATGTAAGTGAGGTTGAAAGTCAAGAAGGAAGTGAAATAGAGAAAGAAGACGATAGTGATGATAATGATTATTGGGTAGATGAAGATAATGTATTTGAAGATGTTGAAGTTGATATGAGGGATTTTAACATGAGCATTGATACAAAAGTACAGTTCTTAGATAAAAGGGCTAGGAATCCAAGACAACATGAGAGTGATGAAGAAGCTGATGAGTTAGATGTCATTGACAATGATACTTTTGATTACATGTATGAGGATTCTTATCAGGACAGGAAGAGAAAACCAGTTTTGAAACAACTATGTAAGGAAAAAAGTTGTTCTTTAGGTGAGGTTCATAAGTGTCATTTTAAAACATGTCAAAAGTATAACAGTAAGAAGGAGTTGAAAGAGAAAATCAAAACGCATGCATTGGAAACAAAAAAGAATATTGCATTTAAAAAATGACAAATGCAAATTGAAGGCCATATGTAATAGAGTTGTGGAATTTATTAACGATGGAGTTGGTGGACCTACCCAACCTGAGAAAAGTAAAGGAAAGGTAAAGAAAAAGGACAAACAGCGTGGGACAAGTAAGGAAAAAGCAGATTCTTCTTTATGTTTGGATGTTACATGCCTCGAGGTATACAGATGCATGCAGTTGGTACATTAAAACATATGAAGACAAACACACTTGTATGAATACAAGGAAGGTGAGAGCTGCAACTGCAAAGTTGATGTCCAAAAAAATTACGGATCAGGTAGAATCCATCCCTACTATCCAAGTTAAAGCTCTCCAAGAACAGCTACAGAAGAAGTATGGAGTGGGTTCTCAATTCATAAAGCTTTTAGAGCTAAAGTAGATGCAAAAAAGATTGTAGTACGTGATTAAAAAAAATAGTATGAAGTTTTAAGAGACTATATCCTTGAGTTGCAGTCAACCAATCCTGATACCACAATCAAATTAGAACTTGGATATGTTTTAGAATCTAATTTGGTGAATTGCACTTCACGATGTTTCAAAAGAATCTATGTGTTGTCTAGGGGTCGAAGAAGGGATTCAAAGCTTGTTTAAGAGATTTCTTGGGGTTAGATGTGGCTCATATGAAAGGCCTTTATCCAGGCCATATCTTAACTGCAGTTGGATTAGATTCCATCAATGGCATATACCCACTTGTATATGCCATTGTAGAGATTCAAAATTGTGAATCTTGGAAGTGGTTCCTTGAATGTCTTGGTGATGACTTGGATCTACGTGCTATGTCTAATTTCCCTTTTGTTAGTGATAGACAAAATGTAATGGTTGTTTATTTATTATTTTTAATGTTTATTTGTTAACCATGTGTAATTTGTTGCTAGGGTTTGCTACAAGCAGTTAGTCAACTATTCCCATGTGCTGAGCATAGGTTCTATCTCATACATATACATGATAACATGAAGAAACAATAGAGAATTAAGGAATATAAAGATCACATGTGCGATTGTGCCATAGCTACAACAGTGCCAGAGTTTAACCATTACAAGCACCAATTCAGTTTATTTGACAACTCAACATATGAATCGTTGAAGTTAATACCACCAAAACATTGGGCAAAAAGCGAATTCATAGGTAAGTTGTTATGACCCTTTTTACCTTTTTACCCTTTACAACATAATGGATAAAATTCTAACCTTGTATGACCACCATAAAATTATGACACTTTTACCCTTTGCTATACAGGGAGAGCAACCACAGACAAACTGTTAAACAACCTTTGTGAAGTGTTTAATGGCAAGATAGTTGATGGGAGATACAAACCAATTATTATCTGCTTGGAATTTATTAGGAAATATATGATGAAGAGGATATGCAATGTCATCAAGTTGCAATAGAAGTGTGTAGGACCACTCACCCCAACAACAACAAAGATTATGGAGAAGAATGAAGAAGCAGCTGCTCGGTACATTGCAGAATGGTGTGGTGATGAAAAATACCAAGTCAAAGACCCATGGAATGATCAACAACTATAGGAAATGGGAATTAACAAGTATCCCTTACAGACATTTGATTTTTGTGTTATATATCAAAGCAGATCATGGTGTGTGTGTGTGTACACGATCTCCATACTGATGTCCACAAGGTGCACTGGCTACAAACATGGAAAATTGCATATGAGTACAAGGTGGAACCAATTAAAGGTCGTGTACCGTGGCCTAGAAGTGAGTGTCCAATGCAGATCACACATCCCCCACACTATAATCATCCTGGGAGACCCAAGAGGAAGAGAAGGGAGTCCATGTATGAGAGAAGTCAAAGCAAGAGTCAGAGTCGGAGTCAAAGGTGAGATATTGGTCCTAGTGAGATTCATGGTCATGTCCCACATGGTAGTTGGAAACTAAAAAGAAAGTTTGTTAGTGTGACTTGTAGTAAGTGGGGAAAAAATGGTACAACTCCAGGACATGAAAAGGTTGGGTGGGACTTTGTGACATCCCCAATTTCACGGCCAAAAAAGACCGATTTGTTTATGCTTTCTTTTTAAAAATTAGATTTATCTTTCAAAGAAAACGGTTGCGGAATTTATTCCCAAAACAAAATATGATAAGAATTTATCAAAGGATTTCTTAAAGAAATGTATTTCATTATATAACAAAATCTCGGGATGTCATGTTCCGATACAGACACATAAGCATAAATAGAACATACATTTATTTACACTAGTGATTTACATTTCCTTTAATCTCTCAGTGAAATATGTCTTCGTATTGATACCTGTCATACAAAGAAAACTGAGTGGGTCAGGCTTGGGAGCCTGGTGAGCATATAGGGTTTTCAACCCACAATGTTATATCATATATATATATATATATATATATATATATATATATATATATATATATATATATATATATATATATATATATATATATATATATATATAGATAACTCACAAACTTATATCATTTCACCATATAATAACAACTGTTATCCTACCCCATCGATCCCCACAACGGTAGGGTCTAACTCTCGTATCTAAAATTTTCCTATTTCCCTGATCCCTACTCACAGATCTAAAACTAATCTCTTCACCTGATCCATATTCCCGGATCTAAAACTAACCTCTTGGTCTGATCC